GGAGAAAGCCTGGTATCCTGCTTGGGAGCTCTGAAAATAGCTGGTGTTGGGGTGTCAGGCCCATGCCCTACCATCACTGGCAGTTGGTCAGAGTAGAAGGGGAGCAATAAGGATGCCTCTGTGTCCCTACAGAACCCCCTCGCACTCTGGGCCGCAACGAGTAGGAGGGCTACTGAGATGGGCCTTAAAGCCTAGAGCGTGGGCTCAGGTGGAGTTGCTACAGGTGAGGGATTCACCTAACTCAGCAGATACTTCAGGTAGGCCTGATGGCAGCTAGATGGCTTAGCTTCCTGGCCCTACGGGGCACATTAAGATTCAATCATGAGATTCCAGCAAAGGTAGTCAGTTACCATTCTTGTTGTGTTTATGCAAATGATCAGGCCAAACTGAATACAGTAGATGAAATGGTCTTGATTTGGTTTTTGATAAACACAGAGGTAATTTTGAGGAGAAAAATTCTATTTCAACAAAGGTTATTAAAACTGAAATGTTTTCCTTCCCTTCCACCAGATCATCTGTTACAATTTGTCTCTGCCAGATCATAAGCCCACCTCTTTCTATGCCCAGGATAGCAAGGAGCCTGACTGGAAGGTGACCTCTGACCAGACACACCCACTGCAGATCACCCTCAAGAAGACAACAGATCTGGCTAATCAACCTGCTCCAAAGGATTCAGAGAACACCCTGCTGAATTCTTCCGTACACTTCGTTTCTTATCTTCTCTTAAAGGCAAAATGCTCTGGTATTTCTGGATAATCATTGTTTTTATCTTTTTAGTAATTCTCATTTTGTCTTTTTATAAGTGCCGCAGGAACCCGAGGCTAGGCCCAGGAGGAGAACTCTTCTGCCCTTGCTGGAATACAGAAGCACCATAAAATTACTGCTTCCTACACTAAAAAAAGAAACAAGATGAATAAAACAGGAGTTATCTGAGATCTGGGCTGCATGGAGAGGGGAGGGGTTTGCTTTCTAGCCCCTTTTAGCCTGCTTGAATAATGGGAGATAGGCTTGGCTGTCTGGCCTTGTAGGCCAGAGACTAGATACGCCCAATGCCATGCCAGGTGCATTTTTGATTGAATGGAGCTGTATAGATTTCAAGGCCGCTGCCAGCAAGCACACAAAGAGCTGGCTCTTCCATAGAGAGGGAAGTTCTGCTTGTGGCTTTGCTTAGAATTTAAATTCATTTCATTTCCCTGGGCACACCACGGTGAATAAAATGTAACTCTAGAATCTTAAAGGAGGACGCTGAATCAAAGATTTGATTCTGGCATAAGACCAGTAGGGAATGTGCTAGGGGCAGGGACCTGGGAGAGAAGATGCTTGCCCCAAGCATCCCCACTGCCCGGAGGACCCCATCAGAGGAGAGGGATGCAGGCCTGGGCAGGGAGGGGCCCGGGTGCTGAGATGGCGCCCCTGGGATCGCCCTGGCTGAGCCTGACTAGCTCACGCTGGCATGGGCAAAGCCCCCTGGGCCACTGCATCAGCCACCAAACAGGAGCAGATCAGCTGGCCCTCAGTGGTCTCTCCTTGCCGTGCGCTCCCTCCTCATCCAGTGGGAGGCACCAAGGTGGAGGGGAGGGGAGGGTGGTGCGAGATGTGCTCACAATAGGCGCCTCCCAAAGCCGGTGCTGCATACATGGGTGGATGTTGTAGGAGAGGTCCGGCTGGTCTTCCAAGAACACAGCCCAGTGGCTCTTGGTCGTTCCCAACAACAGGAATGCAACTAAAACTAACACTCCATTTCTCACCCCACAGATGAGCACTCTGTCCGCAGTCTGCAGGCCAGAGGCACTGGGCTGGGCCTGGGAGCAGGTGCTGCACCCCAAGATGGGTGTGGAAGCGGCAACATCGAGGAGGAATCTGTCTTATCCCCACAGGTAGGGAGACACAGGGACCTGGCCCGCAGCCCCAGCTCCGTAACTCGGTCACACCGGCCACCTGCCCAGCGACCTACGTATACCATGGCTCCTGGGGCAGAGCCCACGGGGCAGAGGGTGGGAGGGCCTGGGTTATTGCGCCCGGGCTGCTGGGACACCAGGCAGCTCTGAGTGAAAGCCAGAGCAAGAGCGAGAGCGAGCTGCGTGCTGCTGTGAAGGTCTTCAGAGCATGAGGCCAAGTGGTTGTTTGTTTTCTTATGGTTGAGTTTTAACAGTTCATTGTATATTTTGCATGACAGTCCTTTATCAGATATATCTTTTGTCGATATTTTCTCCCAGTCAATAGCTTGTCTGTCATTCTCTTGACAATGACTTTTGCAAACAGAAATCCTTATTTTAATGAAATCCAATTTATCATGTGCCTTTGGTGTTGTATCTAACAAATCATCATCAAACGCAAGGTCATCTGAATTTTCTCCTATGTTATCCTCTAGGGAGTTTCATAGTTTTGTGTGACACATTTAGGTCCGTGGTCCATTTCAGTTTATTTTTGTGAAGAATGTATAGTGCGCATCTAGATAACTTTTTTATTTTTGCCTGCAGATTTGTAGTTCTTTCAGCACCCCATTTGTTAAAAAGACTACCTCTGCTCCATGATTGCCTCTGCTCCTTTG